AAAGTTAGGATAAGAAACGTTTTGTCCACCACTAAACCCAACAATTTAATACATATATAAAAGGTCATTTAGATGAAAGGTGACGGGGCCATCCGGGCAGAGCCAACACCTCCTATAACTGAAAGCCTCCACACGGTTTTTTGCAGGTAGTCCGATCAGACCACTATGTAGGTAAACAAGTGAACGAACGAAGCATTTATGCAAAATCTAGTAAAAATAAGATAGTGGTAGCAAATATATGTCTAAAAATTTGTTTAATTTTTGAATATGATTGGTTTGTCTTATTTACTTGTCAACCACTACAGATTCAATTTTCAAATATATGTGACAAATTTCTCTCAATTACTTTTACAAAAGAATTTGGATTCATGCGCACTACAGGTTCACTTTTTAAATAGTCTGCGCGGTCTACTTATCAAAAAACCGCGTGGAGGCTTTTTGATGTAGGAGGTAATGGTAGAGCGGTATCGCCCGTCAAACGCAATGTGATGCTTCGAGGTTGCGGGTTCGAATCCCGTCGAAACCCTGGATGTATTCCTTGTGATGTCCTTCTCTAAATTGTTCTACCTGTCCCACTTGAAAAAGGCTTATAAGCCTAAATTGAGCAAACAAGCTACAAATGTATGTAATTTCAATAAAGCGTTGAAGTTGGAAAAAAAACCTGTTTGTTCCCAAAAAGTCTTCAATTCACTTCGACTGAAAAATAATTTGAAACAGCCCCAAATAATCTCTGTTTCTTGATAAGGTTATTCACGATATAACTTAAAATTTGAGTTTTATATAAACTTATGAACTATTCATGCATAGTGGTGGGCAAAATAACTTTTAATCAAAATTGAACTAAGTATTATACTTAATGCAATTTTTCGGAGGTTCCGTCGTAATATGAAATTATACTTTTTTGCTATTTTTTTAACAACTGTGAGTTTGCAACTGTTATTTATGACTGTTAAGTCAAGTTTAGCTTATCTAAAGCCAGAGCTGTCTACGCTTATTTTGAAAATGGCGCCGCAAAATGTCAATATTTAGAAAAGCTACAGTTTTGCGAAATTGAAAAGCGTTTGTGGTCTAATTTTTTTAATATTTAGAAACTTATTCCAATGCTGCATTACCTGGGCTCACAAAAATTTGCAAAAACTGAAAATAAGTAATAAATTGCAGTGATTTTGATAATTGATAACTGTCGTCACATTGGCGATTTTCTGAAAAAGTTTAATAACTTTTAAAATATTTAAGTTATTTGGCTGTTCTAAAGCCCAGATAAATCTTCACGACAAGATTACTAATATAGTTTAGAATCATTGCATTGGTTCAGGTGTAAGGCACATAAACTTTGGCTTTTTTTTAATTTTCCTTGGTGACAGAGTTTCAAAAAACAGCGTTAATAACATGAATTTTATTACCGACTTCAATGCGTAAAGTGAAGCAAATTGGTATCCCTTCCAACCATCTAGCAATTAGGTTACGAAGCCATCTAGCTACTGCCCGAGAAGTCGAGCACTTTACGGTAGAACAGTTTAACGAGGATCGGTACCGCGCACCATTGGTCCCTACGCAGGGTGATTAAAATGGTCACCCACCCACTCATTGACCACAGTCAGTGATGTTCAACTTCGGTGGTCTACTGGGAACCGTGTCTTTACGATCAGTCCACTGCGGGACGAGGAGTTTTACACTTTCGGTGAGGCAATAAAAAATGGTTTAAATGGTCTAAATCAAATGACCAAATTTCGATCTCTATACGGGCATGGTAGTTTCGGAATAGATGCGTTATGATGAACATTAATATTCTATTTCATCTATGGAATAACAAACAGGACTTCAATCGTCGGTCGTTGTAATGAAAGGATCGCTGTAATGAGGGATCGTTTTAAAGAAAGTCGCCCGTACATAAATAGAAGCATAGATTCTCCAATTCACCGTATTCATCTTTTTATAAAGATATAGCTTCGGTAGTATGGTCCCGAGGTAAATCCAGTGTGCCCCTCCTGTTCAAACAAAATTTTCATTTTATATCAAGGGAAGAAGCAAAGTTACAAATTCGTAATTTAAACAAAAAGGTAAAAAGATTCGTGGTTAACAAACAAGAATTAGAAGATTGAAAATGTAAAAATAAAATATTCTGACCACAGAAATCAATCTACATTATTTATAGATCCAAGTCCATTCACCATAGGAATTTTTTTATAACTTCTCTTCTTCAATTTGTTTCAGTTTTTTTTTTCTTTAAATAATTGATTGTATTTAGAATTTTTTTTAAAAATAATTCTCTATCTTGAAAAGCATGAAACGTTGAACTCACTTAACGTTTTTGTTTAAAAAGCTCATAAATAATGAAAATCGTGATGAGAAAATTTCAATGCTTTCTTTTGAGTAAAGCTTTTATTTTCTTTTGACTGGGAACTATATGATTAACTTATCTCATTTTAAAAAAATATCTAATAAAAGTGTTCCAAACATCATTCGTGTTTGTCTTTTTTTTAAAATAGCATTATTTATAGCATTGTACAGTTTTTGAATAGAAAAAAGCAATCAGGATTTGGTGTTCCATTTATGACTGTAATTTAATATATAGCGTTTAGGCGAACTTTGGAATCTAAATTGCAATTCTGATAAAAAAACACATCTTAAATTAATTTATTTCTTCCAAACTCTCGTATACGAGCCGTAGTCGATCAGGAGGTAGAGCGTTCGTCCTCAAATGAGGTGAACCGGGTTCGAATCCGGACTATGGTTGGTCGATGCGAATTCCGCCTCTGGCTTACACCGACCACAGTACTGACGTAAAATATCCTCAGTGGTAGACGGATCATTGGTTAGAGTCCCCTTGAATTCAGACTAACTTTGGGATGTTTTCGTAGTTTTCCTCTCCATATAACGCAAATATGGGTTTGTCCCATCAAAAAGTTCTCCACGAAGGCAAATTTCTACCAATACTTGATCTAGGATTTTCCTTGTATTCTGGATTGGGTTCAAAATTACAAGGCTACAAAGTTGAAAATTGATTGTCGTGAACCCCAAATTGGGTCAACTGCTCAACGACGCTTTTAGAATAAAAATTTAGAAATGTTTATACTATAATCTCTGCTCATCTTGATAATTTGGGAATTCAATGAGTGGTAATGTAGAAATACATTTTGCGATTCCTAATATTTTCATGTTATTTTCCTTCATTTAATAGTCATGTCTTTTATTTACTACAAGCCATGGATTTTTTGGAATTCCATATTATTTTTCATCATGACTAAAATGTTTCACTATCTAGAATTTTCGAAAAATTGTTGTTATCAAAACTCCCTTCGTGTATCGAAAATCAAGGTTCCACTGTATTTTTGTTCCGCAGTGGACTGATCGTTAAGACACGGTTCCCAGCAGATCGCCGAAGTCAAGCATCACTGGCTACGGTCAGTGTGCGGTTGGGTGACCACTTGGATCAGTCTGCGTAGGGAGCGAGGGTGTGCGGTTGGGTGACCACTTGGATCTGTCTGCGTAGGGAGCGAGGGTGTGCGGTATTGGTCCTCGGAATAAATGAGTCCATTCTAATGGATTCATTTATTCGTTCTATTAGCTTTTATAATGTTCATTCTATTTTTTACACATCTAAAACTAACTAAATAAGTTTTTGTTACACGCATGAATTTTGTCAAATGCACTCAAGTTTTTGATTAATAAATGCTGACATTTTTCTTTCTATTTACCGCTTTTTCTCTAACATAAATATTTTTTTCTAGAAAAACTCAATGTGCAGTGGAAATTACATAATTAAATGAATGTTATTGAATTAGTAAATCAGTTGAAAATTGAAAAAGCTATAGGGATTGGCCAAAATGTTTAAAAAAACTTCTACTCTAACTCTGCATTAGCAATCTGTTTTTCAGCAGTAAATGTTTGGAAAGGTTTTACGTGACAAAACTGTTAGCACAATTTGAAGGTCATGCTTGGAATATTATGGTAACCTTATATAATACACGTATTTTTTTCTTATATAATATAATTAAAAATTACATTCACATTAATTTATTTTTTAGCCTGTAACAATGCAAAAAAAAGAAGAAATGTTCCATGTGAATAATAATAGTGATGTTCTTTATCTTTTACGAAAACACCATAAAAAGAAAGGTTTGTTTTATACACTTACAAGCCAATGATTTATTTATTTATACATTAACATGTACAGGTTCGTATACTTATTAAAAACATAACTAATTTCGTCCAGTTAAACAACAGATAGCTGAAAGTGGAACAAATTAGATATGGATATCATAAAAATGCATGCAGGGTTAAGCGGGACTCGAACCCGATGTATTTTTTTACACTCACGATATAAAGATCTCCCGTTTTAACGTCTGTTTTGTTCGAACCTCGTGGATTGTTATATCGAGTATCGACTGTATTAGAAAAGGGCTGGATACTATCAAATATTTCCTTGACTGGTGTTTCGGAGCAACTACGCTGCTCCGAGTGTACTATACTTATTAAAAATATAACAAATTTTGTCTAATTAAACAACAGATAGCAGAAAGTGGAACAAATTAGATATGGACATCGTAAAAATGCATGCAGGGTTAATCGGGACTCGAACCCGATGTGTTTTTTTACACTCACGATATAAAGACCTCCCGTTATAAAGTCTGTTTTGTTCGAACCTCGTGAATTGTTATATCGAGCATCGACTGTATTAGAGAAGAACTGGATACAATCAAATATTTCCTCGACTGGCATTTTGGAGCAACTACGATGGTCCGAGTGTACTATAAACAAACTACATATTTACAAATATTTTCAGCCCGATGAAAGTGAGAGAAAAAAACAGTTCATTGATCTAAAATCGAGAGTGAAGTGTTGCTAAAAGTATTCTCTTTCAAGACCTGGGGCGATGTTTCATCAGGTGAAAACACTCTCTTCACTCACTAAACAGGAAAGAAAAAAAATTCTTTTTCTGCCAAATGAAATCGAATGTTAAAGATAGGAGCGGGAATTTTCAAGTTCTTCCAGAATCGGCGAGGATGGCTTATTTCAGTGGTCGAGAGGAGTTTAGATGTCCCACATTTCTGTGACGTTGGACTGATATAGGTCAGGAGTTGCTATTGGTAGCCATGGCTCGTATATATGGCTGAGACATCTTTCAAGATGATATGGTTGAGTGTTTAGTGCCGGTGTTAGAACAAGGTCGACGTTGAGCTGTGTTCGATTTTATTTTTTGATTTTCTGGTCTCTCAGGTGTGTTTTCTCAAGGTAAGAAAGTTAATTCGTGATGATCGTTTTAGTTTCGCTTTCAGCCGTATTTTCGGTTTCGATTTTGGAAGAGTGGAAAGAGTGTTTGTGGATTAACATCGATTAAAGGATTCGTATTCGGACAAATATTTTGAGTGGATTATTATTTTTTTGAAGCGTGCATTTGAAATGTACAACTAAAAAACCCAAAAAACACCTTCTGCTCTCTTTAAGGAGTATTGATGTGTGAATCTTAATTATAATTATAATAAAAAAAACAAAGAATTCGAAATATTTTTCATATAAAATATTACTGATCATTTCTCATAGCCATTAGAAAATTTATTCATTGCATTCTTCAAAAATTTCCTTCTCAGTTAATTGCAATGATTGGGGATAAAAATTAGTAAAATATTTCAATTCTTCTCTAGATTTACTTGACAACTGTAGGAAATTACACTTACAATCATAAATGATAATGATGAAATATCTATTACGTTAATTAATTTAATCGATATTTCAACAAATAAATAGTTGATGAAATAAATAATAAATGTGTCCAAGAAAACACGAATTCCACTCTTTCCTTATGATATAAATTGAAAAGAAGTTTTATTTAAAGTTTCTTTATGAAAATGTTATAAAAAATGCTATATATATATATACTTTATGTATGAAAATGTTATAAAAAACTGCCATACATGCATAAAACCGTGTAATTTGTAAAGTTGAATTATCATATGTAAAAAGTTGCTAAATTAAAAAAATATATATTAATAAAAAAATTTAAGAAATGTTCAAATGTAATTTTGAAGAAATTTTTCATTAAAAGTTTTAAAGCACAATTTTCTTTTAAAATTTTTAAAGTAATGTGGTTACTTATTATTAATTTTAGAGTGGTATAAGACGACTCAAAGGTGACATGGAATTGCAATGGGTTAATGGATCCCATTTTTCGTGGATTTTCTCTTATGAATCTAATATTCTCTTATGAATCAATAATATCGGTTAACAAATATTAAATTTTCTTTTGTTACAAATAAATTTTCTAGAAGTTATTGCTTTTTTTTTGTATATTTTACTTCACTTCTGACATTATTAATATTTTTTAGATTTTTTCGCCTTTTAATATTTTACTTTAATCTGTTAAAATCAAGAACATCTAATAATTTACGAACATTTGTCAGTTAGCTCTTTTGCTAAAGATCTGGAACTAAATAGCAAATACGTAATAAGTTATTTAATAAAAAGGGATTCTAAATATTTCACACTTTATACAAATATTTAAAACCAACTTCAATTTTTTAAACCGAAATGGATGTTTTTAAGGAATTCGTTAGATATTTTGTTACCATTTCTCCCATCGTGTTATTATTTTGCTTAGTTATCATTTATAGTCCAATATAGCTATTAAGATTACGAGTAAAGTAAAGATATATGTAAATATACATATCCTCCAACATTTGAGGCTTTAACAAAATATTTTTTCCAGTGGCAGCGTACTCAAACAGAAAGTTTTAAAATAATTAGAACTTCGGAAATATTTTTAACTTTTTACGTTTTCATTTAGTTAGCTTTTTACGTAAAAGTTTAAATTATTTATGGATAGTAATGGACAATATTCTTTTAATTCTAATGTATTAAAATTTTAATGCACTAAATTTTTACCACTAAAAAAATTTATTTGTGAAACGAAGGAAATCATAAAAATAATATACGAATATGTCGCTCAAAAATAGCCTTATATACCGAATTAGATAACTCGCAATATACAAATTACAAAAAAACATAGCTATTAAGAATTAAATTATATATCACCCCAGCTCATAAATTTTTAAAGTTTTTAGCTATCTTAATTTTTAAAGTATGATAAAAATATATACTGCATGTTAAAAAAAATGTTTTTTTTTTTTATTTTTTATTTTTTTTTTTATTATCTGACTGTGTTTAATTTACCAGCACAAAGATAACGCTGTGTTTGGTTCCCATTTTGGTTTCGTTTGTGCAGCACTTTGTAGTAACGAAAAAATAACTTTTATTGAAAAATTAGTGATTTATAATCTGATTTTAACTTTAGTTTGGAGAAAAAAAATTTTGCAATTGCGTCCTATATTTTTAGTTTTAATTGTTTATTGTTATTGTTATGAGCCTATATTTTTAGTTTTAATTGTTATTTAACGAATTGTTATCTAACATTATGTTATCTAAAAGATCGATTACGGGAAAAAATAATGAAATTTCGAAGAAGAGGAAACACAATTCTCTTTCAATTTTGAAGAAAGTAGAAATGCTTCGGAAACATGACTCAGGAACTTCAGTGGCTAATCTGTGCATCGAACAATTCAACAATTTCAAATGAAAATTTTACTGCTTATGTGACTATGTTTTGACCTATAATATGAATATGTTTGTTGTCTGAGAAAAATTTAGAAATGAAATAACTAAGTTACTAGTTTTTGTCTATTTGATGAAAGTACGCGATCAAGAGAGTTTTGGGGGTTAATCGGTTTATGTTAAACAAGGTACTGTATTGGACACGTCTATAGTTACGTCTTAATTTTCAATACTTCTCAACAGGTTAAAAATATATATAAATTAGTTTAATCAAATAAATTCTTCTTGCTGTCTTTTTCATTACCTGTCTTTTTTTATCGGTCGTTTTCGTTCACTATCTTTTTTTGTCTTTTTCCTACTATCTTTTATTCTCATTCTTATACGTTTTCATTCCCTGCTGTCATGCAACCGCATAAAATTTGGAATTAAACGTATTGTTAATTTTTATTGACAATTATTGTTGATTTATTGTAATTTTTTTTACGCCATGACATTCTTTTTTGAAAAGTCATACAGTAAGTTAAATTTTTTTTTAGTTTTTCGTAAAGTTAAAGCTCCAATACTTAACCTATCTATACATAATAAATTAAGAGAAAACATTTACTTTATTATCCAGTTTATATCTAGAAGAAACTTAAAAATTTCCGAAATTAATGTTTATTTTTACAGCATACAATGTAGAGATTTTTCTAGTGGTAGCAAAATACATGTACCAGCTTACGGCTCATGATTTAACCTTTAACCATGTCGTTAGAATTTGTTTAGGAAAAAAAATTAATAAATCAATTATGATCTATGATAAATTAAAGGTATTAGTCAATTAAACTATCCAAGATAAAGAAAAAAATGACTTAATGGTTTATGAAACATATTAAAATATCGGACACCAAAATTAGCTACTATTTAAATATAACTTAACATTCCCAGTGATCAATCTATTATTTGTAAGAATTTAGCGACTTCTAGTGAACATTACAACACTAAATTCTAACTTAGGAAATAATACTTATTCTTAATTACTACATTTCTTGTTCCCGAATCTTTTATGTGATCCCTTCTGAAAATAAATTGTTCCCACAGCACTTGACTTTATCCAAATCTTTCCTGAACTTAGACCTCTTTATGCAAACAATGAATATACATATGAACTATAAATAAAAATCAAACTATGTGATTCACTTTGTAATCAAATGGTTTAATTTTAACCATGTTAAGAGTCCTGAAGTCCTAAGATAGGAGTCCTAAGTGCAGAAGTTAGGAGCTTAAATCGTCTTAACGACCAATAGGAATTAAGATATGAATTAAAGTATATTCAAAGTGAAAAAAATAAGACAATGAACAAAATCATTTAATGGTCCGGGAAGCATATCAAAATGAAGGAGTATCAAAAGAGTTATCATTTATATATGCCTAAATATTCTCAAATATCTGAGAGTTTTTAAGATGATAATGATTCGTAAGGAACCAAATTTAAAGCAACAATAAGCATTGATTTAAGCAATTGCATTAATTATTCAATTCACTATTAATTAAGCTCCAACTTTGTATGTGACTTGTACTTTAATCAAATCATTACAATTTTATGCAGGTCCCTTAAAATTGTCAGAGATTTTTAGAAAAAACAATTAATAAATCATTAAAAAAATATTGTTTTGGTGAGAAATTAACTTAATTGTCAATTAAGCAAACCAAGATAACTTAATGGCCAATTGAACAAAATAAAATAATGAATAATCCTTTAATAATCCTGTGATTTTTCAAAAGGTTAATGGCTCGTAGAAGAGCAAATTTAAAATAACATTGAACTTCACCTTATACAATTACATTCATTATTAATTATTTTTAGAAACCAGTTGTGTTTGGGTTGAATTCAAGGAAGAAAAAAAGTATCAAAACACCACAACATTTCTATGTTCTTTAACACATATTTTAATGACAAAGGATACCAAATGAATACTTGTTGAGGAAGTTAATTTGTATAATCATCGCAGTGTGAAGTTTAGGAATATTAAACAGGTTTTTTTGAGTGTTTTATTGCTTGTTCTTTTGTGGAGTGAAAGTATTTAATACGCACTTTGTTTTGGAACAAATCTATTTAGGTTCCTGAGAGTTCATTGACATTGATAATGATTGATGTTGATAAATGCGTAGGGAATGTTTACACAAAAATTGTGCATGGTAAATTAGCGTATTCTTAATGGAACTTTTTTGTCAACAAGATAGGGTGATTAAAATTTTAAAAAAATAATGCAAAACATTTCTAATATCCTCATGAGAGCTGTGATGGCACAGGGAATACAGCATTAGCCTTCCAACTAGGTGAACTTAGTTCGAATCCCAGCGATGGCTGGTCTATACGAATTCCGCATCCGGCTTTCACCGACCACAGTACTGACGTAAAATATTCTCACTGGTAGACGGATCATGGGTCTGAGTCCCCTTACAGTCAGGCTAACCGTGGGAGGGCTTCGTGGTTTTCCTCTCCATGTGAAGAAAATGTGGGTTAGTTTAATCGAGTGGGTTAGTTATTTTATACAATTTGTAAACAGCCTATCTGAGTTGTAGTTTATGTCATTTATCAATAGAATTATTACATATCAGGTGATAGTCTAATTTTTAGATTAATATTGATCCACTCATTTTGAGTCATGGCGGATCAAGGGATACAGGGCTCGCCTCCCATTGGG